GACACACAGTAGGGCAGCGGAAGTAGGTGGGCCCACGGGCCAGGAGCGTAACCGCTCTGATACCATGTTGAGAGAGTAAGCAAAAGTAAGGTCCCAAAGCTAGGTAAACCCTAGCTAGGCAAGAGAGAATAAGCAAAGGAGGGGTTTCACTAGCAGTAGTTGGGATGCATATAGCAAACCCTAACAGGGTTGTACTCGCTATAGAGCACCCCACTATAGGCTAGATAATAACATTATGACACTACGGCACGTTTCATCGTGATCGCGTTGACACGCACCGACGAAGACTTAGGCGAGCCCCAGCGAGGTAAGGCGATGTTGTTACCGTTCACTCGCACAGCGCAGTCACCCGTCGTCCAGTCGATTCGTGGATTGTGTCGTCGCAGCCAATCACGCCCGAGCAAAATATCGGTTCCGTCGAGCGTCGTTGCGAGCATTTCCTGGCTAAACATGAAGTTACCCCCGCATCGAATCCGAACTCGGTCCACACGTTCCCGTATCGCCAGTGGCGTGCCGTCGACCAATCTTGCGCCGATCTCAGGTAAGCATCTCTCTAGTGGCAGTCGCAGTTTTCGTGCTGTGGCAGTGATGATAAGGCTGTGGCTGGCCCCTCCGTCTACGAAGATTTTAACTAAGTCCGTCCCGATTTTTCCACTAAGCAGTATAGCGCTATCTACCGTAATACCCTCCTTATTCGGTCGGGTGTGGTCGATTGTGTAAACCGGCACAATCACTCGGTGAGGGGCGGTTGGGTCGGGCGAGCGGCGTGACCTGTCAGTAGAGGGCCCGTCTGCTACTGACTCCCAGCGTTTCCCTGCTGCTTGGTCTGTTTCTGCTGCTCAACTTCCCCCTTTCCCTTGCGTTTTCCGGGCATTAGCTCTTGCGGTGTCCCGGCCGGTTGCACGCAAAGCAGCGCCCTTTGAACGGTGCGGCAGCGGCATTTGCGGCAACGTCACGAATCGTAGCGCACTCGTTCGTCCCACGAAGCCGATGTCCCCAATTGCTGCTTCCGTAGGACCCCGGTCTCGGTCGGTGGAAGAAATCGAGTTTCTCCGCCATGGCGAGAATCTCCTGAAAATCGGTGACGCCGCGAAGCTGGATTTCCTGAGCGATGTCTTGCTTCAGGCCGCCGATGTAGCGGTCGATGCGCTCGCTCTCATGCATCTATCCCACCTGCTCTCATAGCGCCAGAAACCCGCTCGTGTAGTCTTGGACGGAACCGAGTTGGCGCCAAGTGCGGAGCATTTTGTCAGAATCCCAGCCACTAGACTTCTGGGATAAAAGGGCTTGTTAAGTAGCAGGTCAGTGCGTCCATAACCCCCCAGGCCAACGTGCTTGTAACCCTTCTCTAGGATCAATCGGGGATCTCCAGTGGACCTCTGACACCCTCCCGCACTGAGATGTCCGAGGTGCACACACTGGGATTCGAACCCGAGACCTTCGCTCTGATACCATGTCAGAATCCCAGCCACTAGACCACTGGGATAAAAGGGCTTGTTAAGTAGCGGGTCAGTGCGCCCATAAACCCCCAGGCCAATGTGCCTGTAACCTTTCTCTAGGATCAATCGGGGATCTCCAGTGGACCTCTGACACCTCTGTCGCGCCGCGATCGAAGCCGCAATTGGCTCGTAACGAGCGCGCAGACCTGCGCTCCACGTGTCCCACGTGCGATACTGGGGCACCTCCACGAAATACGATGGCGCCCAGGGTCCGGTTTGTCCTTCCCGTGTCGGTAGAGTCGCGTAGTCCACCGGCTTCGTGACGATGACACGCCACCAGTCCATGGCGGGTCCTCGCAGCAACGACACGGCGTATCGAATCTTCGCCGCATCCTCCGAGACGTAGTTTGCGTCGAAGAAAACGTTCAATGTGAAGAGCCACGCCTGAACGGTAGGACCACCCCGCTGACTTGGATCAAAGCATGGCGGACGCTGCGGCTTCAGCGGCATCGGCGACGGTAAGGTTGATTCGCCGGCTGGCACCGAAATGGTGACTCGAGGCTGTTTCCTGGCCGCAATCGTTGCGTCAGGATGTGTCGTGCCGTGGTCGTCGTCTCCGTCATGGCGGACGACGCCATCACTTGCGGCGCTCGCAGGTTGCCCCACACTTTCGTGTTGCAATGTCTGTGGTGCGGGCTGAATCGGAGTGCCAGGTGCTTGGGATTGTGCTCGTGCGAGGTCATTTCGCAGGGACGAGCGTTCTGCCGTTAGCGCCGCGATTTCTTCAAAGCTTTTGCGGATTTGCCGCAGCAGTTCGTTCAAGTGCTCCTGCATGAGAGTCGCGACATCGATATGCTCAGCCATTACGAGGGACGTCGGCTCGGCTTAGTCTAGGCGCAGTCGTGGCTGGCAGGCCCCACGTTATCAGGGCAAAACATCTTGATTACCCCGGGTTATCAGGATGCAGTTTTGAATTTACCCTGTCATTTCAGAATAATGTAAATTTTAACCCTGAGGTCTCAGGATGTTTTTATATGAAATGCCCTGAACATTCAGAATGATCGTAGTGTTCTTCCTTGTAGCGTCAGGATGAATGCCGAGGCCTGCCCTGACGCGTTGTATGTCTCCGTAGCCTGTCTAACACAATTGAAGTGGCCTAGACAGTAGAAAAGCACTTTCGAGGGATGACGTCCTGGGGTCGAACCCCATTGAGGGTCACGAGTATCTTTAACTATATCTTTGTCAACCACCCAGTTTGGACCTTGAACTCTCGTTTTTTTGACCTGACAGGTCAGGATTGATTTCTGAAAAAGCCCTGAACATACAGGTTGGCTTCGAAAATTTGCCTTGACAAATCAGGGCATTTTTTACGATTATGGAAAAGTGCCCTGAGGCCTCAGGGTGCCCCAAATCCTAGCACGGGGCCTGGTGGCTGGACGCGTTTACGTGAGAACGCGATGACAGCGGCTCCTAGAGGCTAAGGTGCGTGAGTCCGTTCGAGTGAAAAATCAAAAGTTGATTTCCTGGGGTGTAGAGATGCGCGGTCCGAAAAGAAAGAGGCTCTGATACCAAGTGTTACGGGTGCAACGAATCGATTTAGCGAGAATTGCACTAAGGTGTCAAACGAGTACAAAATGTGAGCGAAGGCATGAGCGAACATCTATGCGCGAAACATGCAAACGGTAACGCGGTGCGTGCGAGCTAGCTAGTGCTACGCTGGAAGCGAGGCTCGAGCTAGTCCCGAAGCGTAGGCCGACACGGCCGGTCCAGCAGTGCGAGGTTTGGGAAAATAGTGCGCGCGAAGTCGGCGAAGCCCCGTTAGCAGTAACGGGCGAACAACGACTGCTGCTGTACGCGATGTTGCAGGGTGCGCTAAGGAATATTGAGAAGATTCCTTACACTGTATAACATATTCTGTAGATAAGGTGATTACCGTATGATTGATTCTATATACACTACGATAACATAGAATTAATCATACGGTAATCACCTTATCTACACTCAATAGGCACTCAGTTCGGCTTGTTGAGCCCAATGAGATTGAGAAATTAAATTGTTGAGCGGGAAAAGAAAAAGATTATCCCCTTGAAAACTTGTTTTCAAAACCTACAGGCATCTCCCATATTAATGCCCCTAGTAAAGCCTACCGTCCTCCTGCTCATGAACATGATCATCACTACAAACATTCCCTACCGCTTGTGTGATGCCATGGCTACAGTCAGCTGCATTGCACTACGGAGATAGTGGAGTGCTAGATGGGATCCATCATTTGTCAGACTATACTTGAACAATCTCGTAGTCTCAGCAGCCATGCTCCTGTGCTTGGCTCTTACGAACACCCTCCCTGCAATGAGCAGCCACCTGGTGAGCCGGTATAACCATCTCTGGTGAGTTTGGACCAACTCAGCGCCCTTGATTATCGAGCATGGTCTTGAGCTCCTTCAACCGCTGCATGCCCTCACTCATGTAGAACCGTATTTTGCTGATGTCGTTCTCCCCTGCATGCTTCTCTGCTTCGTGTCTAATTATTCTCTGCAGATCAGCTGCTCAAAGCGAAGGTACGAACATACAAACCGAGAAGGACGATTACTACTTTGAAGAGAAAAAAAGTGGGAAAAAAGAGGAGAAGGGCATGAACAGAGCGCTTCTCATCCACCTATCTTTTTTGCATGCACCGCCTGTCTAGATCAAGGAGCATGATGGCTGTCTAGGGCAAAGAAAATGGTCAATCCGAGCAGCAATGCACCTCGGTATTTCCGAGGTCGCGCACTCCAGAGAACATCCCGATAGAGCGCCTTCACTGACGCGTGGAGCACGAAACGCGAGCAGAGGTCTACGCGGCGAACACTATGCGGAGTGTCTGGAGGAGTAACGCACCTCGGGATTCAGGCGGCGCGAGTCGTGCAGTCCTGAGAGCATCCCGGTAAAGCGCCCTCGCTTTCGCCTGAAGCACGAAATGCTGCAGCGACAACACTGGTCGTGCCCTCATGCCTCCGTTACCGAAATCGTCGCTCCATGCTTTCGTTAACAGCACATTTTCGCAAATCCAGGAGGCAAGCTCGTGCCGGATAAGGGAGGAATCACGACGCAAGACTAGGAGGATGATGGAGCAGGGCTAGGCTTGCCTGGTAATACTCGGCGAGGTGACCGCGTGAATGTCCATTCTATTCGCGTTTGAGGATTGGGGGATCGAGTTGCGATGCATGAAGTTCTGTGCAGTGAAACTCAACCATGTTACCCATTGTACCGTAATTGGCAAACTTACAAGTACGTAAAACAAAATGTTACTGCGGAAGCAGCTTGCGCAGCGTAAGAGATATTCTTTCTTTCCTAGGCACTTGCTTTCTCTCCCATTGCTGGTGCTCGTCATCTCTGATAATACCATGAGTCCAATTATACCTTGCAGGGCCCGAAAGCAGCAGCAGATCCCCGGGGGCAAGGAGCAGAGGGAGGGAAAACCCAAGATCATAAGGACAATCTGACGGTCTAGCAGCAGTAGATGGTGAATCTGCAGCATCAGAAAGGGGCAAGGGCACCGCTGCAATGGATGAGGGTGATTGATCAGGGAAGCCAGAAGGGGAAGTGGGCGAACTTGGGGAGGCAGTGGTGGGGATGGTGCTGGTGGGGTTGACGGTGGTGGTTGGGGTGGGGTTGGGAGCGGTGGTGGGGGGTGGAGAGGGAGCAAGGGTCATGACGCAGGGCGAGAGGAGGGAGAGGATGGCGATGCCATCGTCGAATCGCATCAAGTCCACATGCGGCTTGATACCCTGTACCCCACGTCAGCAATGGGAGGGCGGATGGGTGAATGCATGCCATGTCAGCAATGGGTGGTGGATGCATGAATGCTTGGCAGTGACAGGTGATGGCATAAGAACATCTGAACAGTAGAAGGCATGGGGAAAGTGGACATGTGGATAAGGAAGGCATGCGAATAGGGACATGGGGATAGGGGAGGGCATGGGAGGTGGGGGCATGGGAGGGGAGGGCATGGGAGGTGGGGGCATGGGAGGGGAGGGCATGGGAGGTGGGGGCATGGGAGGTGGGGGCATGGGAGGTGGGGGCATGGGGATACGGGAGGACCTGTGGATAAAAGAGCGGCCTTCAAGGCCAGTGTGATGAGACAAGGGAAAGACAAAAGAGTAGACGGGCGGATCAGTGGATTGGTGAGTGGCTGGATAAGAGGATGGGAGGGCGGAAGGATGCAAAGAGCAAAGCCTCGCGTCATCTCCATGGTACCAGTTGGCGATCATCTCGTCAAACCGGAGCACTTTCTGCAGCACACGCCGCGAATGGCTGGGTGGGTGGGTGGGGGAATGGATGGATGGGCGGATGGGACGCATGGCCGAGTCAAGACCAGAGTCTCACCTGGTCTCCGCTGTACCAGTTGGCGATCATCTGGTCAAACAGGGGCTCTCGCTGCAGCACACGCCGAGACAGCGGCTGCACCCGCAACTGCCCCGCTTCGTCATTTTCTGCTCCAACCACCTGCAATTGCTCACTGTCAACTTTCGCGTCATTCCCAGCCTTTTCAGGTCCGGCTTCGACAACTTGGAAGAGGTCAGCATTCGCATGCTTGCATGAAAGCACCTCCTCGAGGCCATTCGCCTCCTGCACTCCTCCCCCCTCTTGCTCTTGCACACCTCTCCCCTCTTCCCTTTCCGACACATTCTCTGTGTCTCCCTCGTGTTGTCCTTTTTTCCTCCTCTTCCCACAACAACCACTCCTCCCATGCTCCTCCCCATCCTCCCTTGCTCCCCCCTCTAGTAATCCACTACGATTCAAAACAAATTCCTTCCCACTCCCGTTACCATCCCCTTCTGCTCCACTCCTCTTTGCACTCCCAGGAGCACCATTGCCCACACCTCCGTCCCTCTCCTCGCTCATCAACCCACACGTACCTTCCACTCCCTTAACAGCAAACGCTCCAATAGCAGCAGCTGTTTGACCCGAAGCAGCAGTAGCAGCAGCAGCAGCAGCAGCAGCAGCAGCAGCAGCAGCAGCAGCAGCAGCAGCAGCAGCAGCAGCAGCAGCAGCAGCAGCAGCAGCAGCAGCAGCAGCAGCAGCAGCAGCAGCAGCAGCATCGGCAGCAGCATCGGCAGCAGCATCAGCAGCAGCAGCATCAGCAGCAGCAGCATCAGCAGCAGCATCGGCAGCAGCATCGGCAGCAGCATCAGCAGCAGCAGCATCAGCAGCAGGGGGGACTAGAGCTCGCTCAGAAGCAGCAGCCCCTATCAGCTTTGTCAGGTGCATGGCAATAGGGGGGAGATTGCCAAACCGCATGGCCTGAGGAAGGAATTGAAAGGCAGAGAAGAGCAAAACCGACAGTTGAGTGGGTAAAGTGGGGCGTCTTGAAGATTAATAAGAAGCTGAATCAAGATGTGGTGAGCATGATATAAAATTAACGCAAGTGCGAGTAATTCATCTCTTGTGCATGAGAGAGAACGTGAGATGTTTGTCAGAATAATGGCATAAGGTAGAAACTGGCTTTACCTGATTCTTGACTGGTGGGTCGAACCATTTCTCTGAAGGCATGACAGAAAGGACGAGAACAGAGGAGGAAACGAGCCCGAGGAAGCAACAAAATGTACGTATGTAACACAATCAGTACTGTAAATTTGATTCCTTGAAATTATCGACATTATTGAGTGAGTGACATGCCTCAGTTGCACAACGTTGATAAAACATCACATGCCAGTTGGGAAGAAACGAGAAGCACCTCGAATGAAAGCTTTGGTTTGTGTTTTTACCCCGTGCAATTGCATTCGAGACAACGGCTTGCTCCTTCTTTGTAAGAAACCCCCGGCACAGCCACAGCCCCTCCACCTCCTCCACATGCGTCCATTCCCGGCTGCCTTGTCCACTGAGACAATCACACTCGCTACAATCACGAAGAGCCACCTGAAATCGGAACAGAGGGAATGCGGGACAGTTAACAGCGCGCAAGAAGCTTCAAAATCGAACAACGTGACTTGACAGGATAACAAAGGATGGTGGCGGGGAGTGGCTAAGAGGTTGGAGGAGCAAGTCTTACGAAGACGTGGAGAGCTGGAAAGCGGTGGAAGGCGGTGATATGGGGGGTCCAGTACGACGAATTTCAAGGAAATAGGGAGGGTACGGGGGATCATGGGAGATTGATGGAAATTACGGGAGGGCTAGGAGGCGACGCAGGACAATCGGGTGGTGGCGACGGCGGTCCAAACACGGCATCAAGCAACGAATGTTCCATCGTATTCACGGCGGTTGAGTGAATTATGACGCATTAGCTGAGTTATAAGATTGTACAACTCGTCCTAATCACATCGTTTTCACGCTTCCTCCTCGCCTTCGTTTCGTCATACCTGTTAGGTGGCGATTTTCGAGAGCGGCACAACGGACAAACACGCAAGATTTCAACCGAATCGCAACGGACAAACACGCGAATCGCGGCAGGTGCTTCACACTGGGCATGATGAGGAAGAGTTGGCGCTGGGAACGTATTCAAGGACTCTCAGGGTGCGTTTCTATACCGTGTTAGACCTTAGGTTTGACACGAAGTGGAGGTTCGGAAGACCCGAAGTGGCTCGTTTTTGGGGCGATTGGAAGTTCGGAAGAGACAAATTGAAGACTCAGGCCGCATTACTTGATGTCTGACACGGGATCGAAACGCACCCTCATCCACCACACAACATCCAAAATTGGTTGGGAAAAGGGCTCTATCAAACCAACCCAAGTCCAATTTTTTTGCCTTCGGGTACGCGGAAATATAAGAGAGAATCCAGATTGTCCCCGTGTAAGGAAAATTCCTTTTCCTTACTACGCGTCCCCGCTTAGCGCGTACACCACTGTAGCACCATAGTCCGCACCGTTACCACTCACAACCCTCACATCGACAATCCTCCCGCCAGCTTCGCACGTCGCACCCCGACCTAACGGCTCGGTGGGTAACCTGCACTCCGGGCCTCCGCTTCGACATTTTTCCCTACCTTAGTCCCACGCCCGTCGCACGACAACCACAGTCCATTGCCATTTCCACCTTAGTTTCGCTATATATTCTTCGCTCATGCCTTCGCTCATTGTACTCTTGCTCCGATAGTGCAATTCTCGCTCGCTCACTCAATTGCACTCATAACACTTGGTATTCAGAGCCTACGATCTCTTCTCGGACCGCACCCGCACCTTCGCTTCCCCACTATCTCAATTATTTGGGGGGTAGACGTCTTTCAGCGACACAGCACCGCCGCTCGTAGTGCTCTCTCGTAAGCTCGCACGGCCATGACCGAGACTCTCGCTGAGCTCGCCCGACACCCCCGCCATGGCCGAATTCACGCTTGCAACATTGACGCAGGAGCAGCTCGACCGTCTGGTGCGCCAACTGGAAGAATCGGCGCTTGAAATTGCGACGCTCACGGCGGAACGTGACTCCGCACGTCAGCAATCAACGGTGAACACTCCCGCGCCACCACACGCACCGACAAATGCATCTGCACAATCGGACGAGCCAATCGTCATTTCGTCCGGCACACCAACGCAACACGACAGCGTGGGACAGCGCTCAGGCGCAGCCAGTGATGGCGCCGCCCAACCGATGCCTGGCATGGGAGGAAACAGGGTCGCACCAAGCCCGCGGGAGCCTCGTGAAGCCCGTCGGCACATGGAGTTCGCGGCGACAAGTGGCGAACAGGCCATTATGGCGCCAATGCCACTCAAGCCGCAACGCCCGCCCTGCTTCGACCCGAGCCAGCGTGGAGGTCCGACGGTTCAATCGTGGGTCTTCACGATGAACGTCTTCTTCGACGCGAATTACGTCGAGTCGGACGCACTAAAGATTCGATATGCCGTTTTGCTGCTGAGGGGCCCCGCCATGGACTGGTGGCGAGTCATCGTGACGTCGCCACGCGCCTACGAGCCACCGTCGCAAGAGGAAGGGCCCACGGGTCCAGCTGTCACCTGGAGTTCATTCTACGAGACCGCCCAGTACAACACGTGGGATGCGTGGTGCGCAGGGCTTCGGGCGCGCTTCGAGCCAATCGCGGCTTCTTTTTCGGCGCGTCAGAGACTGCGTACTTGGCGGCAGCTCGGGTCGGTTCAAGACTATACAAGTAGTTTTCTCGCATTGTGCGAACAAGTCGGCTACATGCACGAAGCGGAGAAGGTGGACCGTTACGTCGGAGGGCTGAAGCCGGGAATCTCGCACGAGATCATGCTACGCGGGCTCTCAAACTTTAGTGGGATTCTCGAGCTCGCCGAGAAAATCGACATTTTACGCCGTCCGAGACCAGGGTCTTACTGCGGACATCGTCCTCGGGGACCGATCGAGCACGCCACCGTACATGCCGTTGCGACGAATGCAGCTGCCGCGCCGCTTAAGGGGCACTGCTTTGCTTGCAATAGGCCGGGCCATCGCAAGAGTGAATGCCCAGAGGAGCTAAGGCGCCGTGGAGCAGAGCAGGGGAGGGAGTCTCCAAGGCAGGGAAACGCCAGCACTCAGTAGGAATCGGGCCAACTACTGACGAGACTGCCTGCTCGCCCAACCCCACCGACCCTCACCGAGTTACAGTACTGATTCATGCTATCGATCGGGCTCGGACGAATAAGGAGGATACAGTGACGGATTGCCCATAACTGATCCACAGGAAAATATAGGGAGCAGCAGTGAAGATTTTTATCGACGGAGGAGCAAGCCACTGTTTAGTAGATACCGCAACCGCCCGAAAACTGCAACTGACACTTAGCCGCTGCTTACCTGAGATAGACGCACGCTTAGTCGACGGCACGCCACTTGCCATACGGGAAAAGGTGGAGAGAGTCAAAGTCCGCTGCGGGGGGAACTTCGGATTTACACAGGAAATGCTCGCAACGACACTCGATGGGCACGACATTTTAGTGGGACGTGATTGGCTGCGACGGTATAACCCGCGAATTGACTGGACGACGGGTAGCTGCACTGTGCGAAGTAGCGGTAACTGGGTCGAGCTACCTCGCTGGCAGTCATCCGAGTCTTCAACGGTACACGTCAATGCCGTCACCATGAAACGGGTTGTCGCTGCTGGAGCTGACGTGTACGCAGTAGACATTGCAGTGGTAGAGGGAGCAGAGCAGCCGAGTGATTTCAAGAAACTGCTGGCAGCAGTACTGCCCGAACTACAGGAACTGTTGAAACGATACCCCGGGATTTTTCCCGACGACTTACCGGAAGGACTGCCACCTCAGCGAGCACTTGACCACCGAATAGAATTAGAACCGGGGGCACAGCCAACCGTATAGTGTGAAAGAACAAGGAACGATTGCATTGAGCAGCATGAGGAGTACAAGTAGGAACCCCTAAAGTGTTGTACCCCATGTGAGCTACCCCACTATAGCCTACACAGACTATAGCATATAAGTTTGACATACAGCGCTAGCTCAGACTGACACAGCTCGACGAACTAAGGAAGCAGTTAGATTACCTGTTAGAAAAGAAATTCATCCGACCGAGCTCGTCACCGTTCGCCGCACCGATACTGTTCACGCCATAAAAAGACGGAGGATTTCGCATGTGCATCGATTACCGAGCGCTCAACAGGGTAACAATTAAGTCGCGGTACCCCATTCCTCGCGCCGACGAACTGATCGACCAACTGCGAGCAGCACAGTTTTTTTCGAAAATATATTTAAAGGGAGGTTACCATCAGATTAGGGTTGAACCATCGGATTGCGCCATAACAGCTTTGCGGACTAGATACAGGTCATTCGAGTACATCGTGATGCCTTTCGGGCTGACCAACGCGCCACCGACATTTCAGATGACCATGAACAAGGCGTTTAGGCCGCTTTTAGATAAATGCGTGATAGTTTGCCTCGACGACATCCTCGTCTACAATCGCGACAAGCAGTAGCACTTAGTGTCAGAACATATAGCTTCTGCATATTGTGTAGGCTATAGTGGGGTAGCCCATAAGGGGTACAACCCAATTAGGGTTAGTACTTGTACTCAGTTCATTCATACATCATCCATACTCGTTTCTTTTTTCTCATGGTATCGAGCAGGTTCCCTCGTGGGAACTGTGCCTAGGGCCCACCACATCGATTTTTTTTTTCCTTCCCGGAGCGCGCTCCCTGAGTCGCGCTCCCCTCTCTGGCTTCGTCGAGCCGCCCTAGCGGCCACGTCACGCCGCCTTAGCGGCCTCGGACCCGTCGCCCTACCTGCGACCCCGGCCCCGTCGCCCTACCTGCGCCCCGGCCCCGTCGCCCTACCTGCGCCCCGGCCCCGTCGCCCTACCTGCGCCTCGGCC